AACCTCTTCATAGAGACACAAATCATCTAGCATTTTCTTTAAGGTTGAAACCTCCATGATTCCTTAAAGTGTTGTGAGGGTGAGTGGTGGTTATTGTGCTAATGGCTCTGTGTCTGCAGATATTTACACACCTGCTAGAACATCATACAGGTACACGCCCACACTGACAGATCCAGTCACACCTGTTCTGACTAATCTAACATACCTATGTTACACTTTGGTTTCATTTATTTTATCTTCATGTTGTGGTCTTCTGTTTTATTTCATTTGATTTGATTTGATTTCAAGTAAACTCAGGTGCCCTGGCTTTTTGTGAAACAATTAATTGGTTCTCGACCCGTCAGAGCATTCACCCATACTTTTAAATGACAGAGTAAAAACGGTGTTAGTGATAAGTTAGACAGAATCATTACCTCGGACTGTCTTCTGATTATTGAGAGAAATAGAAGTGGAGATACTTCTGTTACAAATGCAATATTAATATAATATCAATAGATAATAATACAAATTTTATTTCAATGAATGTAATCACTCGGATCATCTTTTATGTAGAACATAAGCAAAGAAAAACATTGTACAGCTGTGGTCAGAAGATCTTAAGAATAACCCAGGAACCACCAAGGCTGCAAACAAGTCGACAGCTGAGCTACTAAGTTATACATGAAACAACACTATTTTTTTAAAGAAAGATAGCGATGTAGAAATACACACGACTGTGTTTTCAGATAAAAGTAACAGTCACACAGAGAAAGGCAGAAATAGATGAGGAACAAACGGTGCTAAAAGAGAAAGTTATCATATTCATGAAGCTAAACTTAATAAATTGTGCGTTATTGATCAGTATTTACTCAGGTTTGGATTTACGCATTTGTAATATAGTCTTACATGTGTTTATATTGATTATTTGTGTGTGGATTGAAGCACGCATTTCCTGAAAAGTTACACACAAATCATTGTACACATTTGTGAGTCTAATTTTAAGCTTTTGGGTGATCCTTGAATGAATGTTTGGATGAAACACCCTCGCTTTCGCAGAGAATTCATTCCAACAGCATTTTGATTTTATAACTCCTCAATCACGATATCATGAGTCACAGGACATTCTGGACATTCACGGACACGCTTCATGCAAAATGCACCTTTTATTTGTATGGATGTGTGCAGGTACATGTATACGTATGTATATTTAGTGTACATGTAGTATAGACATGTACATGTGTATATTAATATTTAAATATATCTATTACTTACATAGTAATAGTAGTAGTAGCATAGTTAAATTCATGTGAATCTCTGCTACACTTCATGTAACCTACCTGTGACCATGAAACCACCGACACTGTGCAGCAGTCACACAGTTCTTTACTTTGAATCCATCACAGTGCAGCAAACTAACCTGTTTATCCTGCACTAACCTGCAGAGGATGTTCATGTAACCTTTAACACAGTTCACCTCAGTTTGTTTAGCAGCAGGTTTCACAATATGAAAAAGCCCAAGTCTCATGTATGCAATGTGTGATTTAAAAACATGAGCACTTACATGTAAGCTTTAACCCTTGGATGCACAACCTACCAATACCTACGCTCTTTCTTTTTGTGGGGTCAAAAATGACCCCAAATAAAATCTGTTTTTGCAATAAACTGGGTGTTATTCTTCAAAATCTTTAAAACAAAGAGTTGTAATATATTCATATTCCAGGTGTTCCTCATAAAACACATTTGTGACTAGGGATGGGTATCGTTTAGGTTTTATCCGATACCAGTGCCAAACCGGTACTTTTGAAACGGGGCCGGTGCTTAAACGGTGCTTAAAGAATGGAGAACACAATTTTGTGTCCAAAAACCTCTCATGTTCAGCTGTTTTTTTTGTAAAAAGATAACAATGTTAGCCTTTTCTGCAGCTATGGGGCATATATGGTATCACTCTTGGCTGGAAGCAGTGCTTAAACAATGGAAAAAACACAAACTTTGTCCAAAAACCTCTCATGTTTAACTGTTTTCCACTTTTTCTTTGGTCATTTTAGCCTTTTTGGCCAGGGTGAAGGGAGTATCTGCCATCAAACAAGAAGACAGCCGCATGTAGCTATGATGATGTTTGCTAGTTCACCTTACATGCATTAATGTAATAACGTGGTTAGCCTACTCAACGTAAATTACACACGAACAACATTAAGCTACTCACGCAGAGAAGAACGGCTGCTGCTGCCATCATCATTTCTGCTACACTGGCAGGGCTAGGGGCCAGGACTCTATTCTTCGGGTTTTTGGGGGATATTGCATAACAGGCAACCCACCCACAGTAGATGTGCTCGGTGTGAGGTCTCGCAGCAAGCTATCAAGTACGGCGCATTTCTCGGCTTTTAAAAAAAACGCTATGCGTCGCCAGGTGTTTCATGGGATTTTAGGTGTTACCTCCTTTGACAGTATCACAGTATCAGCTTAAAGCACTTGTTGCAGGCTGCTGAGTTTGCATCTTTTGCTGTGAAGTACAGCCAGACTTTGACCGCTTCGACTTGGGCATTTTTAATCTGTAGCTCTGCTCTAACAGAACGTACGTACCTGGATCCGCCTACTATCCTCGGAAATGTAAAATGATTGGCTAGAATCTAAAGTGTATCAAAGTACCGAAATAAAGCACCGAAATGTGCGCTGCTTTTCGGTCTGGTTACTACAGTTTATGTCAGATGGCACCGGACACCGGTACCCATCCCTATTTGTGACATGAGGCCATTTGCATTTTTATATATTTTTTCATTAAAATTAAGAAATTGCAGTTTTTGTATCACTACCTAAGTCTTCACAAAAAATCTATGCTTTTTTGCAATAAACTAAAGACATTTCTCTCATTTTGGTTAAGATGATATATCTTGTTCAAACAAAAGAGTAATTTCCTTTTTTGACATGTACATTTTTTTATTTTCATTCACATTTTAGCACCTAGCAATCAATCAATCAGGCGTCAAAACATGTTTGTGTTCAGAACTACAAATTCAATTTCTTTTATCAATTATTGTTTTTTTTAATGTCACAATTCCAACCCTCCTCCTTTATCCGGGCTTGGACCAAGAAAAAAGTGACCCGAAATAGGCACTCTGGTGAAGTTACTTTGTGTTTGTGTTTGCATTTATAAGTAGTTTTAAATCTTGTGATCCACAAAACATCATAACAGTAAAAGAAGTGACTGTTTATTGATTATTGAACATCAGCTCCAGTAGCCCTTCTTAAGTCTAACGATCGAGTCAACTGATAATCGCACAATATCTAGCTTAATACCTGGTTTCTATGAATTCATTAGCACTTAAACTCTGTAACATTGTTCATGGTGTTACATGTGATTTCTGTGTCATAAATCTTTTGCATGTTGGTTAAACTGCAATAAAAATGATGGGGCACATAAGGATGTTGAGTAACTTGAACTCAATAGTATAATGTGGACTCATAAAAATATTAATCCTTGATGATATTAGTGAACAAAAAAACCTCCAAAATCATATTTTCAAATTTATTGTCCATTACGCAGTTGAAAAATAACAAATTCGAATGATAATTTTACACACACACACACACACACACACAGAAACAGCATTAACCTTGTACAACAGCAGCACAAGCTGAAGCACAATATGCAACAAACCGTGCTCACCCAACATTATTGATCATCAATGACACGTTCTATTAAAAGGGTCCAGGTGATCAGGAAAATTGACAAAATGTGTCCCAGTCAGAAAAAGGAGATAGGGAGGCAAAAGGGTTAAATTAAAGAGTTTTATTTAAGTTTCTATTAATAACTCAACTAAAAGAGAAGGACAAGCCGCTATGACCAGTTAAAGAAACAAACAACTCAGACGTTGGTCAGTAAACTGAAAAGTAAGTAAAAAAAAAAAAAGAGTTTGGTCACCAAACACTCCTCTCCACAGAGCAGGAGTAAACAATCACCAAACATAGCTCTCTAGCTGCAACAACCAGTGCTCACCGTTCTCCTGCCTTAAATACCTTTAATTGCTGATGGGAGTCAGCTGTTCAAAAGAAAAAAGGCACCTCAGACAGGACATACGTAGGACACGCCCACACAGGCAACTTCAGGAGAAGGCCCTGCTAGGGCCGTAACAGAAACAAACATCCCTACAATCAAATACCAGTCACACACACACACACACACAGGGACATTAGACAGAGCAAAACAATGTATTTATTTTTCATCACCTTTTATTTCCTGAACTAGCAAAACTGAGGCTGCTCCAAGTTTGTATTTGTTAAACTGAGCATAAAGGTGGGGGGGGGGGAGAAAAGCATGAAATCACAGAGTTAACAGGATTAGGGGCTGTATGTCAGTATGAGCAAACAGAATGTAAGATGGCTGATTACAGACACCACCTGAGATTCAGCCTCAGATGCAGAAAAAACAGGATTACTCCCAAGCTATAAATGAGCTCTGTTAAGGCCTTGAAGCAACGAAAATACTCCAGAAGGCACAGCACCAGCTGAACGGGTAAGACAAACACATTTTTACCATCAACACGCTAAAATTTAAGGAGGACCGGATCTGACAGAGACTACAGTTTTTCTGGATGAGAATACTCTCCAAAAGGTGTTTGATTTCACAAAAAAAAAACTTGTCTATACCAAATGATTTGTCTGATAAATTCTTGAAAGGCTCCTCCTTTCCTCTCTGAGCTGCTCATTAAACACCTGACTGGCATCCATGTTCCTGTTTTCTTCAGTTTCCTGCTGCTCATAAACTATATTTGCGTTAGTGCAGCTCAATCACCTGACTGAAAAAAGTAAAACAAACCAAACTGACAGCTCTTTATTTCCCTGATTTTGTTCTTTTCTTCTTGCTGTATTAAATGTTGAGGCAGGATTGTGTTTTATTTCTGCATTACTTTAAGTTTTAAAAACGTCATCATGTTTATCCAAAAATAAAAGGAAGCCATTAATCTCTTAAACCTGCATCACTTCATTTCTCTGTGTTCTTAACGTCTACTGTAAAAACTCACTCATCAAGGACTGAGAGGATCCCTCTCCAGAATATGGATTACAACAGTCTTTAGGTTCTCATACAATTCCTTCTTTTCTCCTCTCAGTGTTTTCTGTACTTCTTCAATCGTGTCTTCATCTGCCAGCCGATGAAGGAGAGGTCCACAGTAAAGCCTGACAAAGCAGAAAATCTCAGTTAAAGTTGATGAAGTGTGTTAAACATCTGTGGAGCGCATCATTGGTCTGGTGTTTACCGGGCACACTGAGGTTCTGGTAGAGGGGAACACAGCAGCTGGTTCAGGTGGAGGCTCTGCCTCATGCAGCACTGCCATTGGCTGAAAGCATGAGCCACACGGGGCTGCCATTTCCTCCTGATAGCTGCATCCTTTAAAGTTTTCATCTTCCTCTCAAACTCGTCCTCTACAGACAAAATAAGACAAAGTTTCAGTGACACAGAACCAGAGACCAGCAGCAGTTTGTCTTCTTGTTCAGGCTGATGTGGAAGCATCAGTGCTGCTGCTGTCACACAAACTCTGACTACAGGAAGTCTGACTACAGGAAGTCTGACTACAGGAAGTCTGATTACAGTCTTAACCTGCTGTGACATGCAAGGGCATGAGTCGCCTCTGTGGGCCCTCTTCCTTTCAGTGTAGCCAGTAGTGATTCATATTCTACATTTATTAACAGTCCACGATGTCCATGTCTGCACAGTTTTCACATTGATTTCCCAACACTTTATAATCTACAAATATTTTTTGGTTAAATAAGTTTTATTTTGTGTATCTTGAAACATTGAAAACTCTGATTACACTTGTAACACTAAAGACAACTAACAACATTTCACCAGAAACATGTTTTTGCCACTGTCATCCTCTGTCATGCTCACAATCTCCTTCTAGCCTGGTCCCCTGTTAACCTGCTTAGAGCCTCAGACTGTTTTTGACCTGTTTGGTGTTGAAACTCAACAGGGGTCAAAGCAGCTCATCAAGACACACCAGAATAACTGTAAATAATATACTTATCTTTGTAACTGAGAAAGTTTAAAGTTTTGAAACTTGTACTTAGGGTGTTGATACAACTGTTTATAACTTAAGGTCTCTGCTATATGAGCTCACCTTGTTTCCCATCATTTGGAGAGGAGGCTGTCGATGCTGCTTCAACCTCTCTGTTAGCTTCTGAAATGAAGGAACATCTTTCACATGTGACACTTTTTCATTGTTTTCAGTGACAGCTGATAGCTAAACCAGATTTTATTTTAAATTGTATAACAGTTAACTTCCCTCATTTTGCTTTTCTTGATTTCCTTCTTTTCATTTCTAATACCTTTTATTCTTCTTCCATGGGGAAAGATATCCCTCATGGTGCACATTCGCAATTACTTAGATAGAATAAATAAGCAGTGACGTCCAGTGTAGGACGGACAACACAATTTTATAAGTGCCATCAGAAAGCCTCCATTATATTGTTTTTTTCTTAACCATTCTTCCATAAAAAAACAATTGTAAGGTCACTGATGTTGGACGAGTAGGCCTTGCTCGCACTCTCAACTGTAAATCATCCCACAGTTGTTCTGTCAGGTTGAGGTCAGGACTCTGTGCAGGTCAGTCAAGTTTGTCCACATCAAACCTACTCATCCATGTCTTTATGGACCTACTTTGTGCAGTTATGTGCAGCGATGTTGGAACAGGAAGGGGTTGTCCCCAAACTGTTCCCACACAGTTGGCCAAAATGTATTGGTATGCTGAAGCATTAAAAGTTCCTTTCACTGGAACTAAGGGGATGAGACCAGCTCCTGAAAAACAATCCCACACCATAATCCCCTCTCCACCAAACTTTACTCTTGGCACATTGCAGTCAGACGAGTACTGTTGTCCTGACCACCATCAAGAACAGACTCATCAGTCGGATATCCAGACAGAGAAGTGTGGTTCATCACTTTAGATAACATGTCTCCACTGCTCTAGAGTCCAGTGGCAGCTTGCTTTACATCATTGCATCCCACTCTTTGCATTGTGGTTGGTGATGCAAAGCTTGGATACAGTTAGTCGCCATAGAAACCCTTTACACAGGGCTCTCTACGCACTGTTCTTGAGCTAATCTGAATGCCACGCGAAGTGTGACTGTCTGTCTTAGTGACTGTCTGCACAAAGTTGGTGACCTCTGAGCACAATGCTTCTGCTTACTCTGTAATTTTACATGGCCTACTACTTTGTGAGTTGCTGTCATTCCCTATCGCTCCCACTTTGTTATACTGCCACTAATAGCTGACTCTGGAATTTTAGGCTACGTCCACACGTACACGGGTAGTTTTGAAAATGCAGCCTTTTCTATGCGTTTGGGCCTTTTGTCCACACGTAAACAGTGTTTTGGATCATTGAAAACTGCGATTTTTTAAAACTCTTTGCATTTACGTGTGGACGAGGAAAACTGAGATTTAGTCAACCAACGTCAAAGGTGTGCGCCATTTTTGACTTCACGCTTTGTTTACATGAGATAAATTTCTACAATGGCAGATATAGACAAAATACTGTTGCAGTTTTTTCACGCTTATATACACACACACGGAGTTACTTTCCCTCCATTTAGAAAGACTGAGGCGTCAGAGTGAACTTCTACTTCTGTGGCTTCTACATTCAACACATATGCTCTCACAACCCAAATCCCAACGCCAAAGCCGTCTGTTTCGGACGAAGACTGGGTCGAACCACCTCTTGATAGACAACTTTGAAAGCACGGAGGTACTTCCAGAAAAATGGCGAGAGAATTTTTGCATGTTGAGGACTTCACTTTTGGCTCTTTGTGAGCTACTTCGTCTGCACATTGAAGCCCAAACAACCAAAATGAGTTGCCTTCAGTGTTGTAAAAAAAAGTTGACATGCACACTTCATTATTTAGCTGATGAGGGGAGGTTATGCAAGACTGCAAACGCTTTCGGTACTATAAGGCAAGTGGTGTCTGAAAATTGTAAGACAAGTATTGTACGGCAGTTACTGTTCACTTGGGCCCTGTGTTTATACAGTTACCATGCAAGGTCCAAAGTAGAGGAACTTGTAGCAGGGTTTTACCGAGCCTATGGAATTCCTCAGTGTATTGGTCCTTGTGGATGGGACCCATGTGGAAATAAAGCAACCATCCATGAATTCTTGGACCATGTTAACAGGAAGGGGAGGTTTTCTCTGAAAATACAAGCCACCTGTGACTAAAGGTATTAATTTATTGATGTTGCGTTGGCAAGGCAGTGTAACAAAACCCATATTTTTGCAAATTCTATGCTGAACACACATTTGAAAAATGGCATGAACTGTGGAACATAAAGAGGCAATTCCAGTTTTCCTTATTGAGGATCCAGCATACCCATGGCTTCCTTACCTAAAGAAAGAATACGCAACCGTGGGAAGCACTGCTCACGAACATTATTTTGGACTATGCTTAAGTTGAGCTCATTGAATTTGTTTTTACAGACTGAAAGCATGGTTTGGAGCATTGCAAAGGCCCTGGCAAGTCTCCCAGTTCGTGTTTTCGTGTGTTCTTGCTGTTTTATATTCCAGCGTGATATTGAGGAATAATTCCACCTCACTGTCTCTCCACACATAGGACTCCTTTCTGCTTTTATGTGCCATCTTTGTTTGTGCTTAACTGGCCAACATGGTTAGGATTATTTTGCCACCTTTTTATTTATTTTATTTTTTTGCATGTTCTTGACAGCATTTGATTTGTTTTTTGCCTTTACATGTGGACAGATATATTTTTTCAAAACTGCACGTGTGGTCCGGATTTTTTTTTTTAACGAAAACTGAAAATCTTGTTTACAAAAGTACCTGTGTGCATGTGGACATAGCCTTGGTAGGCAGGAAATTTCACGACTGTACTTGTTACACAGGTTGCGTGGTACCATACTGGAATTCACTGAGCTCCTGAGAGCGAAGCATTCTTTTACTCATGTTTGTAGGAGCAGTCTGCATTCCTAGGAGCTTGAGTTCATACACCCTAGACCACGAGAGTCATTGGAACACCTAAACTCAATGATTTGGATGGGTGAGTGACTACTTTTAGTACAGGGTGGGCCATTTATATGGATACACTGTAATAACATGGGAATGGTTGGTGATATTAAAGTCCTGTTTGTGGCACATTAGTATATGTGAGGGGGCAAACTCCTCAAGATGGGTGGTGACCATGGTGGCCATTTAGAAGTCGGCCATCTTGGATACAACTTTTGTTTTTTCAATAGGAAGAGGGCCATGTGACACATCAAACTTATTGGTAATGTCACAAGAAAAACAATGGTGTGCTTGGTTTCAACGTAACTTTATTCTTTCATGAGTTATTTACAAGTTTCTCTTTGTTCACAGCCATTGACATGTCGAAGAGGTTAACACGTGAGGAGCGGATCGAAATTGTGTTGATATCTGGTGAACGCAGTAACCGGGTCATTGCAGCAGATTTCAATGCAAGACACCCTACGAGACCACCCATCTCCCATGCTACAGTAGCAAACTGCTTGCTAAGTTTCGTGAAACTGGTTCAGTGTTGGATTTGCCAAAATGTGGACGCAAGAAAACTGTCACTAATGAAGAAACATCAGTGGCTGTCCTAGCTTCATTCAGCAAGAGCCCACAGCGTAGCACTCGCCGCATGTCACTGGAGAGTGGCATTAGTCGAACATCCCTTCGGCGGATATTAGCTACTCACAAATGGCACCCTTACAAACTCCAGCTACTGCAGCATCTCAACGAGGATGACCCAGATCGGCGCACAGAATTTGCAGAATGGGCAAAACAAAAATTGGAACAGGACCCTCAGTTCACGCAGAAGATTGTAGTGATAGGCAAACTTTTATGTGAATGGTGAAGTTAACAAACAAAACCACCGCTATTGGTCTGACACTAACCCACATTGGATGGATCCCTCCAAGACTGTTGGAACAACAAAAGTGATGGTTTGGTGTGGTATATGGGGTACAACGATAGTGGGTCCATTCTTCATCAATGGAAACACTCAAGGCCACTGGATATTTGAAATTGCTACATGATGATGTGTTTCCCTCTTTATGCACTGGGGCGGGGGGGGGGGGGGGGTAAGCTGGCACGTTCCCTGAGTTTTTCCAGCAAGATGGTGCACCACCACATTATGGGTGCCAGGTCCGAGCATTCCTAGATGAACAGTTTCCTGGAAAGTGGATTGGTCGTCGTGGGCCAGTTGAATGGCCCCCAAGGTCTCCGATCTGACCCCCTTAGACTTTTATCTTTGGGGTCATCTGAAGGCAATTGTCTATGGTGTGAAGATACGAGATGTGCAGCACCTGAAACTACGGATACTGGATGGCCCACCCTGTAGTACAGTATATTTTCTATCCATTATCTGGGAAATATATACCATGTTACCCAGTGAGACTTACCTGGACTGTCATGGTGATACATAAACCCCAGCAGGAGGGCGTGGAGGCAGTGGACAGTTTCAGGTTTTGGGTGGTGTTGTAGCCTCTTGAACCAGAAAACAGTCACACAGACTGGCAGCTTCAGCTGGTCGGGGATGTTTTCTAAGGCTGAAGTCTGAACCTGCAGAGCTTCTTCAAACACCCTGCGACGCAAATCTTCAGGAGCCTGCACAGAGAGGTACCACACAGACAAGATGCTCACATGTACCACGGAAACACGTTTATGGCCTGTCAGAGTAATTAAACACATTTATTGATTAACATCAGTACCTCATGCAGATGCTCTAGTTCCAGTTGTTTCTGTTCATCACTGCTGAGGAGTATTGATGGGACACGCTTATCTTTGATCTCTTCTCTATCCCTGTCATATTCAGTGCACATCTGACCTCCAGTTAACAGTCCATAGAAGTACTGTCTGATGGGGTAAGCAGCTGTGTAACTGCTTGGCTGTGAAAAGTCCTCCACAAGAGCAGGCAGGATCATTGTCTTCTGATCCACAATATTTATGACGAAAGTGGTGAGTTCTCCACGCTCAATTTTTTGAAGAACCCATAAAGGCAGCTCAGAATCAGTCTTTGTTGGTTCAACATATTTTTGAATGGAGAGTTTGAAAGATCTGTCCTCGATCTCACGAACGTGATTTACAGCATTTTGCAGAGCGTGTTCTCTCTTCACTGAATCGTTACAGCTGTCCAGCTTCAATTTGCTTAAAAATGTGAGCATACCATACAGTCGTTTGATGTCGTTTTGGCCAGGTGAAGATGATTCATTTGCAAATATTTCTTTACCTAATCTTGAACAATCATTTCCTGCTATTGAAGCAAAGACTGGCATGAGAGCAGGGTCCAATTTAAAATGCTCACAAAAATTTGAACGTGTGTAGAGCTTAGCAGGAATTTTTCCATCCTTCTTTCTTTTCCACTCAAAGTGTTTAAGATGAAGGAAACCTTTGTTCACATCATAGATGCAGAAATCTGTGTCAATGGACAGCACAGCACATTGTTTCTGATTTGCAGCAGAAAAAATCTCAGGGTCTGCCTCTCCTAAACACTGTTTAAACTCTATGCCTTTCTCCTTCAAGATTTCTATGAAGACATCTCTGACCAGAGGTGGTAAGACGTTAGGCCTGTATCTTTTTCGTACAGTGCAGCCAAGCTCAATCTCTGCTACTGTCTTTGCTTTTTCCAGTTTTTTTTTTAGATGAGACACAAGATGTTCACGCTTGTCAGATCCTGAGCCTCCATCCAGGAAAACGTACGGAGTGACTTCACAGTCCTGCAGAGTCTTAAAGAAGTTACAGACCTCATCTTTAAATCCAGGATAATCTCCTCCACAGCGCTGGTCCAGCTTCAGATCAGAGTAATAATACAATAAATAGTACAGAGCTGCACCATCAATGATGAGACCTGTTTTTTCTATGTTAACCTCCTCACAGAGAGAAGGTATCTGATCTATCAAGTCTTCTAACTTTAAAATTCCCATTATTCCTTAAAGTGTGGTGAAGGTGAGCGGTGGTTATTGTGCTAATGCCTCTGTGTCTGCAGATATTTATACACCTACTAGAACATCGTACAGGTACACGCCCACACTGACAGATCCAGTCACACCTGCTCTGACTAATCTAGCATACCTATGTTACTCTTTTGGTTTCATTTCTTTCATCTTCATGTTGTGGCTTTCAGTTTTATTTCACTATGTGGTGCAAAATGAAATGTGTTTCATTAACTTTCCAGCTCTGTTAATATATCAAAGATACTTAGTTCTTTAAGATAAGAAAATGATATGATAAACCTTTATTAGTCCCAAACTAATAAAGGTTAAAAAAGGTTTTATTATCAACACATGTCCCAACTGGTGTTTAAAAAATCAGTATTTAAATTCAGTAATGAACCATGTTGTGAAGAGGAGCTTTTCAAATTGAGAGCCACTGCTAAAGAAAGGCACGATTTTACCACCTCTCGGGTTGATCACTGTAACACTGCCTATTCAGTCCATGTTCTCCTTTCTTTACTACAAACAGTCCAAACTCAGGTCCACTGGCTTTCTGTGAAACAATGAATTGATTGACTCATTAGAGCATTCACCCATACTTTTAAATAACAGAGTGAAAACAGTGTTTGTAAGCTAGAGAGAATCATTACCTCAGACTGTCATCGGATTATTGTGAGAAAACCTGATATTGTTGGAGACTATGTGAGGAGCAGGCATTGCACTGAAGTAAAACACATTTACAAAAGATTTCAACATTTCATATCTTGACTCATGAGCTTTGAATAACTGCAAATCACTGCAGTGTGTTTGTATTCACATTTTTAGGTTTCTAATCAGAGGTGAAACAACTAGAGTCATTTGTCACCTAAGTAGAAGTAGAGATACTTGTTACAAATGCCATATTAATATAATATTAATGCATAATAATAAAAAGTTTATTTCAATTAATGTAATCACCTTGAACATCTGTTATGTAGAAAGTAAGCAGAGGAAAACACTGTACAGATGTGGTCAGAAGATTACATACTCTAAAAGATTAAGAATAACCCAGGAACCACCAAGGCTGCAAAACCAACAGCTGAGTTAGTAAGTTACACATGAAAGCGGTAGAAAGAAGAACAAAGATAGTCTCTGTCACCAGCTGCATCTGGAGAGGCCCAGCATCAACCTATTGCTTTTCACTGTCCACAGCACTGTTTGTTGCTTATCTATTTCTTCTTTTCTCTGAGCTGATGTGGACTTGAAAGAGCAGTTTGTAAGAACTGATCCTGCCACTGAGACAGGTTTCTCAGGTAGGAGGAAAGTAGCTCTGTGCATCTTGACCATGTTTGGCTCCACTCCACAGTGAACTTTATCAAAACTAAATACCGATCCCAGCTCATCAATGAGCACCCCACATGTGTATAAGGATGACCCTGACTCCATTCAAGCCCAGATTTAAAATGCTGTCAGAATAAGCTAAAGCTCAATTCATTCACTGAGCAAAAAAGTGGGGAGTTGATTAAATATGGAGAGAAATTTGCACCCAAATGTTTGAAACTACACGTAACATCTCCCTCACTCACTCACAAAACCTCAAATACGTGTGCACCAGTCACCTGGTACACACAGATCATATCACATGCCCACGTGGGGTTCACACAGATCGACAAGTGTAAGCTATGTAGCTATGTTCAAGTCCCAGTGTAAAACTGGGACTTCTGGGCTTCAACTGTGTACCTGTGTCTATTTGTTTTGTTTTGTTTGTTTATTCTTTTTACTTATTTCAAATAAAGTGGACACTTATGCTCCCAGCAAGGTTTTTGAAAGATAAAATTATCAGATTCATGAAGCTAAACTTAATCAACTGTTTGTTAATGATCAGTATTTACACGGGTTTGGATTTATGCATTTGTAAAATAGTCTTGTGTGTTCAGATTGATTCTTATTTCTGTGTGGTTTGAAGCACGCACATGAGTCCTCAAAAGTTCCACACAAATCATTGTACACATCTGTAAATATTATTTTACGCTTGTGGATCATGTTGTATGCATTTCCAACACTTTTGAGGGAAATTTCTCTCTTTTTTTTTCGACCTCTTTAAATTTTAGTTGAATACCCCTAATATACTGTTTATGCTGTGTTTATATTAGACTCTGTAAAGCTGGTATGAAGGTGGAATTCAGTGAATGAATCTCAGGATCATCATCTAAAAGTCATCTGAATCTCTGCTACACTTGATGTAACCTACCATGAAACCACAGACACTGTGCACCAGTCACACACTGTTCTTTACTTTGAATCCATCACAGTACAGCAAACTAACCTGTTAACCTGCACTAACCTGCAGAGGATGTTCATATAACCTTTAACACAGTTTACCTCCGTTTGTTTAGCAGCAGGTTTCACAATATAAAAAAGCACAATGTCACATGTACAGACCCAATGTGTGATTTAAAATCATGAGGACTTACATGTAAGCTTTAAATGAGCAGTCCTTACCTATAAATATCACCTGCCTGTGAAATACAGCAGCTGGACATTTAGCTAGCACACAGTTTGTGCATTTGTTAAGCTGATAGAAACATTGCGTTTGAAATTACCTGCCACTTAAAAATATTTTACTCCTTTTATGTTTTTATTGTCTTTATTTTTATCTCATCTTCAGTAGAGCTAGCTAGATGCTGAAGCAACATACAGACACCTGCAGTGTCATGGTCCGGAGTCTGGTGACTCTGTGTTTATGTTTTGTTTTCTTATATCTATATGATTTAGTGGTTTGTCATGGCTTTGTCTTTCGTATTTCTAGTATTCTTAGTTATTCTTTGGTAATTTAAAGATTTTCCAGGCCTTAGGTTTTGTCAGTGTGCCTACCTTATGTTCCTTGTGTTACATCCAGAGTCCTGGGCCCTGTTTCAGGAAGCCGGTTTAGTGCAAACTCTGAGTAAGTAAACCCTGAGTTAACGAAAACTCTGG